TTTTTTTTAAGTTTTGTATTGGAAGTTGATATTTGCCTCACGTCTTTTTATTCACAGGCATTTTCTATGCTGGGTCTTTCCCCCTCTCTTTTAAACTTATCTACAGTACTTAAAAAATCATCTTGGAATTATCTTTTCAGACAAATTTGAAACATGGGATATCTTGCTTCATTCACTTCTGGTTCTCTTCCTGCCTCCAGTTTGTTCTTACTGAATCAAAGATCAACTTTTTAAGATATTGTTTCTGAGGATCCTACTCTTGGCTATCATCCTTGGCACTCATTTTTTAGGGAGCAGTGCAGATTGTGGCTATCAAGGCTAACCACAACCTGGATCAGGTGCCATTGTAGGCCAGGTACCACAATTTATCAAATTATAAGATGGGTCTTATTTGTGCACACTAGTTTTATCTTGGTATACATGGATTCGATCTGAATCTATTTTGCTCATGTGGTACAGATAAAATAAAGCTTCTTTAGAATTTTTTTTCCTGAATGCTTTCTCCACTTAAGTTGTGATATAGTGTCTAAGAAAGAGTACATATTGCCTTGCCTGGAGCAAAGTCCCTAGGACAGTGGTTCTCAACCTAATGCTGTGGCCCTTTAATACACTTCCTCAGGTTGTGGTGACCCCCCAATCATAAAATTATTTTCGTTGCTACTTCATAACTGTAATTTTACTACTGAAATGAATCTGGCAACCCCTGTGAAAGGGTCGTTCGACCCCCAAAGGGGCCGCGACCCCCAGGTTGAGAACCGCTGCCCTACGAGGTCGAATTTGTTAACATGCTAGGCTGTTAACTGAAAGGAGCTTAAGATCACCTAGATGCACCTTGAAAGAAGTCCTGGAGATGCCCTTCTTCAAAGTTCAGCTACCAGGAACCCTATAGACCCCAGTCTACTATGACACACACCATCAGGTTGCTCTGAACCAGAATCAACTCAGAGGTGACTGATGTCTAGAGACAGCAAGCTGTGAAGCTAGTGAATCTTCACTTTCCCCAATTTACTTGAAATAAGAATGAAATGCCTTTGAGTTGAAAGTATTAACATTTAAATTATCTATAGATATTGAATACATAAATATATACACAAAGAGAATACATAAGAATATGAACATCAATGTCAATTTGAAAATACCCTGACCTGTGGGATGTGCACAGATTATTCTATTGAATTCCTTTTGTGGGGGAAAAATACATTCAACCACACAAGTCTTCACAGAGTTATTCAATTTCTTTATAACATTGTGACTGACTTTAAAAATGTGTTTTATTTTTATCCCTTGGGAGTCCTAGTTCCCAGCATCCTGCTGCCAATTCTTTCATTATTTTCACTGACAATCAGGCACTAACACCAGCATATCAAATCAATATCTTGCTTACCTTGCTGGAGTCTCTCTTTATAGTATTTCCTGGGTATAGTAACTGTAGAAAGCCACAGTCCAAAGAAGATCCTATATAAATTCAACAAACAAGAAGCACACAGCTACTGAATAGTTTCCTCATTTAAAAAAGAGTCATGCTCATTAAGCGAAGACAGTAAAAAAGCGAAAACCAGTAAAACCGAGAGCAGTATTTGGGTTGGGGAGATAAGAATATCAGCAGAATTGGAGGTTTACCAAGTTTTCTCTATTTAAAAAGCAACAACAATCATCACAATGTTAATAATAAATTTATTTCCAGTAGTAAAATTTCCATTGGAAATCATTAGGGACACTTTACAGAGATCAGGAAACTAGATAAAATATTTCCCAAGACTCAGGGGAACAAGAGGAAAATTAATAGTTTTAGACGTCTCAGCTTGCATGTTATTCTAATCAAACATTTACATTCTCAGAACAGGAAGAAAGACCTTGTGAACCTAATTATTGCAGAAAATGTATGCAAAGTTTTAACTCACTCTTTGGATAAGTGCTGAGAAGAAAGGTCAGAGAAGGGAAATCAAATATTACTTCACAGGGTGAAAAGCATGAGAGATCCTTCTGAAGAACTGACCGATACAGTTTTTAACCTGCCATGAGTAGGCAGCCTGCATCTTTTCTCCTTAACACCAACGTTCATACTTACGGTCAATAGGAAAGCTCAAATGAAGGTATTGTGTATATATATTTTCTTGCATCATGGCCTTTTGAGATTTGAGACCCTGTCCCCTGATGCTTTAGAAGTATTTGTTCCACTGATGAGAGAGATTTTGAATTGTACCTATTTACTGTGAAATCCCAAACCTTACCATTCCCTAAAGAATAGTACCTGGTGAACTGGATCCTTGTGTTTCTAATGATTCCTGGGAATAATGAAAGAGTAATACAGCTTGTCGTGATGACTGCAGTAGGAAGATCTACCATTAGAGTCCCTGTTTCTAGTTCAAAGAGAAAATATTCTTTGTCCACCAATGTCAGTCCGTACATTTGTTGCTTTGAGACATTTGAGTTGTGAGCTAGGACTGTGATAGTACTTAATTAGCATGAATCAAGTGTTTAACAGACATGGTAGATAGTGGTAAATGAAAGAGAAAATGGTCTTGACTGTGTGGGGCAATTCAATTCAATCGGGGAGGCAGGTAACAGAAAGTAAGCAAAAACAGCAAGTGAAAAATAGCATGGGATTTTGAGTTGGGGGAAGGACTTGTAATTTTTATAGGATTTTTTTTTCTTTGTAAATGTATTGGTTTTTTGAGGAACACATTCTTGAATTTAGTGGAAATTTGTG